TTGCTTATGCATTAAAGAGCTGGGGAACAGAGCAGAGGTGCAGGGGTGAGAGGATTCACCAGAGACAGAGTGGGAACAGAACAGAACGAATATACTGAAATACACAGCTGAGGGGACCAGCGGCAATGCAGGAGGGGTCTGATGCACCATGTGGGTTCAAAACCCTGGCTGCCTGGGGATTGAACTTGTGCTGCAGTGACTGCGGACAGCTTCAAAGTGCTGTGCGTAAGCCCTTCATCCACCAGGGAGGCCCTAACTTTGTTAATTTTTTTTTTTCCCAGAAAACCAACTCTTGGTTTTACCAATCTTTTGAACTGTCTTTTTGCTTTGTGTCACTTATTTTTGCTCTCATTTTTACTACTTCCTGCCTTCTATCATATTTTTTTTCTTCTTTTTGTAGTCTCTTAAACTGCAGAGTTAGATTGTGACAGGCACACCTTCTCACACTCTGTTTTTAATGTGACCCTATATATGCTTTGACACTATGACCCTATGTACAGTATGAACTTCCCATGCAGTACTGCTTTTAAACCATCACATAGAGTCTGATAACTTGTCTCTGTTTCATTAGTCTCATTTATCTCTTGACACCTACATTGACATAAGGATTGTGCAAAAGTGTTCTGTTTTGGGCCTCCCTGGTGGTGCGGGAGTTAATCAAGCTATTGGCAGCCACTGCAGCACGAATTTGATCCCCGGCTGGCCAGGGAGCTACCCACATGGCACAGGAGACCTCTCTTGTCTCTCCTGCTACTTCCCTGCATTTCAGTATATCTGCCTGTTCTGTTACTCGCTCTGTCTCTGGTGAGTCCTCTCAACCTCCTCACATCTGGCCTGTATCCCAGTTCTTGTGTTCGTAAATAAATAACTCTCTAAAACAAAACAAAAATAAAGGTATTCTGTGTAGTCTCCACATATCTTGGGTTGTTCTAGGATTCCCTTTATGGTCAGTTTCTAGATTTATAGCATCGCGGTGTGGCCTATGAAGGAAAATGATACTTCTATTTTCACGTATTTTCTGAGATTTGTTCTATGTCCTAACATAAAATCTGTTCTTGAAAATGTTCCATGTGCACTTCAGAAGAAAGAGTATGTACTACCTTTAGGCTGGGAAACTCTGCTAATAGCCTGTAATCCTGCTGACCTTGTATTTCATCGCAGACCTTTATGTCTTTGTTATGTTTGTGTCAGAGGCGTGTTGAGTTCTCCAACAATAATACATTATAGTTGATTTATTTTTTTAGGTCTGTTAATAGTTGCTTTATATAACTAGGTAGCCCTATATTTGGAGCAATTCTTGGTGAGTTGTTCCCCTTATCATCACATAGTGTCCATCTTCATCCCTGATTACCTGGTTTGGTAAAAGGAACTTGTACTCATCGAGGCCCACCTTGCTATGCCCACTGCTTAAATGCCTGAAGGGCAGAAACCAAAACTGTATTCCCAGTGTAATACCGGTTACCTGATTACACTGGACTGCTTCCCTCAAGAAAGGGGAAGCTTTTGTTGTTACTGTAATAGACCCTCTAACTATGGATTTGTCTTCTTCACATGCAATTCCTCTGCCAAAAGCGCCATTCATGGACTCACAGAATCTTATTCTCCAGTATACATGGAAGTCCTGTATATTTGCTTTGGATCAAGAAACTCAATTCACAGGAAAAGAAATGTGTATTTGGCCTCCCTGGTGGCACAAGGGGTTAAGTCTCAGCCCGATCAAGCTCTCGCCAGCTACTGCGGCCTGAGTTTGATCCCTGGCCAGGGAGCTGCCCCACATGGCGCAGTAGACCTCTCCTGTCTCCCTGCTGGTCCCCACAGCAGTCTGTTTCAGTGGATCCGCCTGTTCTGCTCCCCACTCTGTCTCAGGTGAATCCCATCAGCCCCCACAGCTCTGGCCTACACCCCAGATCTTCTAAGCGTAAATTAAAAAAAAAAATCTAGAAGAGAAATGCTATTAGATCAAGGCTCATTCCCTTTGCCGTGTTCTGGTATTACCAGTTTTCAGAAAGATGACTTGTTGTGTAGTGGATGCAGCTGGGTGGCAACACCTTGCAGGAGGGTAGGCATACCATAAATTAGACTCCATTACAGGATGCTGGGTTTCCCCACCCACACCCTGCCATCTGAATTCAAGGGTCCGGAAATCAAGGAGGGAGAGGGAGAGGTGTGGGAATGAAGCAGTGACCCACTAAGGAAAATTTTCTTTCTTCTTCCTGACGTTAAAATACTGGCCCAGATCTTAATTCCAAGATTGTTCCAAAGGGATTACAAGGAGCACTTTGAGCTCCTTATACCTGTTAATTAATGCGCAAGGAAGGGAGTTACTATACTGGCTGGGGTGTCCTTGAGGGGGACCTTGAAGGGGAACTCAGATGGTTACTTCAGAGTGGAGGTACAGAATAGTGTGTAGAGTGCAGAATACCCTTTTGGGCTTCTTAGTACTATCCTTTCTGATAAAGTCAAAAGATAATTCTAGTGTGCACCAATTCCTTATAGTCTATCTGGTTATGTATTTTTCATGTAAATTATGTCTTAAATCTGTCTCCTTACATATATAAAAATACCTTTACATGTTTTAGCAGCACAGCTATCTTTATCTCCTATTGGTTCTATTTCTTGGGTACCCAGCCAACCATTACAATACTACTGTTGTGAGAGTCCTTCAACGCTTACTCTTCCTGCCCACTCTTGGAGAGCTATCACCTACTTTATAGATTACATGCCTACCATAAGCCAGCAACACCCTATTATGCCTGTCTTTGGTCAACTTAAAAAGCTCACACTGTGTGTTTGTGTGCACTTGCGTGAGGAAAGTTGTGCCAGACCTGAGGAGAGATGCTGCTTGTAACCAGTATGAGTCTTTTTTTCATAGGTAATACTCAGAGGAGAATAATGATGGGCAAATTTAGAAAAGAAGTAAACCGGTAGGGGTTTGAATTTGAGAAAAAGGAATGAGGAGTGAGCAGGGTCAATAAGCTTTCAGGGGATATAGGGGTGTAAGAGAGAAATTGAGTGTGGAGTTCTTAATTCTGAACTTGACCTAGACAGAGAAGAGTCAGGAAAGAATGAAGAAATTAGGTCTGGTGCTCAATGCAGTACTCCCTATCAACATGTGCATTTTTAAGTTTTGACTAAAACTGACTCCTAATGACCACACACTGGAAATTTATCTTCTACACTAGGTGCTACCTCTGGCCTAGTGACCAGTCCTGAGCAACAAAATCATGTTATTATACCAAGTGTCATTAGAAGATTTGGAATTGTAGCAGTGGAGAAAGGGGGCAAAAGATTGCAACTTGAAAGCAGGCTTAGATGACATAGTAATGGAAACAGTGCTTAAACTAGACAGTTAGCATTACCATTAAATTAGCAGAGGTGAAGTATTTCTGCCCCTTACGTTTCAAGGTCTGCAGGACACTCTCTCTCTCTTCCTGTCCCCCTCCTGCCCCAGACTCTCTCTCTCTCTCTGTCTCTCTGTCTCTCTCTCTCTAGCTTAAACAACACAGGCCAAGAACTGTCATTAAAAGACTGGGCCTCCCCGGTGGCGCAGCGGTTGAGCTCTGGGCTGCGAAGCTGCCCGCAACCTCTGCAGTGCCGGTTCGATCCCCGGCTGCTCCCCGGCCACCAGAGGAAGGTCCCACGTGGCGCGCAGACCTCTCCTGCCGCCTGCTGCTCCCCTCAGCAGTGTACTTCGGTCCTTCTGCCTGCTCTGCTCCCCGCTCTGGCTCTGGTGAATTCTCTCACCCTCTCGCGCCTCTGACTGTACCCAGTGCTTGTATAAATAAATAAATAAATCTTTAAAAAAAAAAAAATAAAAGACAGAGGGTTACTTTCATGGATTGTGGTTGGCAGCGAGGTTGGGACGGGCTACAACAGCTAAGTTCAGGGACACCCAACGTGGAGTGGAGCAACACGAGAGCACCTAGGGTTTCCCTGAATGAGCCACAGTGGGCTTCTTGGGCACTTCCAACTGATACCAATTATGAATAGATGTGACTACCGCAAAAAATCATCGGTGTCTTGAGTAACTGGGACACAACTTTAGACGATGCAGTGCCTGCCATGGGGCCAATGGTGAAACTCCTACTGTTGACTCTAACAGATAAGCCTCCCTTAATCTCTACAGCTTGACTGATCCTCCATGTAGCAGATATGAAGGCCCTCAAAGACTGAACAAGCAGACCTGGGGCTGAGAGAGAGGATGGAGCAGGAAAGGACTTACCCTGGATAGATGTCATCCAAATAATCTCCTTATACTCTGCAAGAGCTTTTAAGCAGAGCATCATATTTATAAAGGATCTGAATGCATCACGTGAGGTGAGATGGGGCCAAACCCTCGCAGAAACGAGGAGGATTAGAGAAGCTAAAGCACATTCTTGTACAAGAGCAGCAAATGCTTATGCAATATACACTATGCGGTAAAAATAAGTGCATTAAATACGATGCTTTTTCTTACATGAGTAATTAACATAAGTAAACAAGAGTCTTTAATTAAAGATTATGCACTTGAGAAGCCTTAGTATTAGGTGTTAAAGCTGTTACCACTTCTCAAAATCAACAGGCCATGTAGCTGGAAATACAAAACCATTAGAAACTGAATCAGATTTAAAGACGGGCATGTGCAGACCAGCTCTATGACTTACCGAGATGCATACTTCATTCTAAGCAGAGAGGACTGCAAGAAAAGGCAGCAAATCCCACACTTACCAAAAGCATCTGGAATTAATCTCCTGAGTCTCATAACCTGATTTTGGGCAAAGGGCAGAGCTAGGCATTTTGCATTATCAACTCTACAGCACTACAAAGCTACAAGGGGGCCATTCCTTCTCAGACATAAAGGCCCTTGCCAAAATAAGGACATGCTGCATCTTGACTAATGACTTTTTATTATGAACTCCACTTGTAAACACAATAGGAGGAAAGAACAAAACTCGAAAGGGACTAAGGCTATGGGTCTTGTTGGGCTTAGACTTTGCCACAACTAGAAAGGATTTGGTAACACATTAACTAGGGCTGGAGCTGAGTTGTATAAAGGAGTCAGCGGATAGTGTATCGTACATAGGGGACTTCGATGTCCTCACCACTCTCATCATTGCAGCACAGCTCAAGCACCAGTGCCCGCACGTGGTGGCCGAGCTTTTGCTTTGACACGCGGCTCACAACTTGTGTCATCCTGGGGCAAGGGAGAAGAGAATAATGAGCAGAAAGCAAGAGAAGAAGGGTGACAGAGGGACAAAGAGTGCAGGAAAACCATAACACGAGGAGAGCAGCTAGAAGCTGAGGCTTCCCATCCCAGGCAGAACCGCCATCACACCGCCCAGTGGCCAACTCACGGCTGATCCAAGCGTTCGTTGAGCTTGGTGGCTGGCATGAAAAAGGAGTACAGCATGCATACACCTTGGGACAGCATGGTGATCTCTAACTTGTGCTGTGTCTGGACAAGATGGAAAGAGGAAGGACATCAGCTGGAGGGAAGAGTCAAGTTAACTGCACAGCCAACACCTCTAGGTGGAGTAAGTGAAGGGATGTACCTTGAAGTAGCTGAGGAACTGCTTGAGTGTCATCTCTTCACCATTAGGCTGCAGTCCCTGTACCTCAAAGCGATCCCATAACGTCCATTCTTGGTTATAGTACTGCAAGACAAAGAATAAGCTAGCAGAATGGGGGTCACCCAAGATAATCCTGCCCCTATCAGTCAAGTTGGCACGTTAATAAATTTCATCAATCACTGTCCTCTTTTGTTCAAAACCCTCCTGTGTCCCCTATCTCTTAAGTAACTGATGATCAACAAAGTGACATACCATGAAGACCCTGCTATCGCTTTCACTCAGCCCTTCACCCTCTTTGCAGTCCTATTTAATGTCCTCCAAATGAACTGGCCCTCCTTGTGATTTTTCAAACATGACAGTCAGTCCTACTTCGCATAGGTGCCACAGGGTGCCACAGGGCCAATGGTGAAACTCCTACTGTTGACTCTAACTGTATGCTGAATCAACAAAGGGTACACAAAAGTACAGGTACCTATAGAAAGTCCACATGGTATGATGAAGATTAAAGTCAGTTCTTCAGACACATACACATACACACCCCTCCCAAAGACTCTACCTCACCAAAGGTTTCCATACAAATGGCTGCTGTACAAGCAGACGCCCACCTGATGACGGAGCGGGGCAAGTGGCTCAGAGAAGCTGAAGAAGGGCAGGGCCAAGTTGATGAAGCTGTTCTTATAGGACTCAAGCTTCTGGTGTCCCTGTACCACCTTGTACATCTCCAGACACACAAGGCCAACAATAGCTGCTGTAGTCGTAGCAATGGCTGGGATGATCTTCCCTGCAATCAGTTTACTCTGTAAAACAGAGTGTGATCAGCTGAGGTAGTAGTCAGAGAATCAGGGTGTACAGAAGGGGCCAAATGTGGAAGACTCATGCTTGGGAAAAACATGAAAGGTTAGGTTTAGACTATTCACTACCTTATGCCGGTCCGCAGGGGCAATGTTATAGTTCTCTGCCCGCAGGTTGGATGCAGCAACAATGAAATCCATATGGAAGTTGCTGTCATCATCCTATTGAGTAGGAAAGAAAGGAGAGAAAGCCTCAGAAATAAACAACGCTGCCTGCCTCCCAGGGTCTCGAGTATACCGCACTCAATTACCTGCCACACCAGCCCCAAACTCCCCCATTTACAAAGGATGACAGCATCATGTGGCAAACCTTTCTTTCCCAGGACAGTGTAGGCTGAATCACAAACCTTCCCTCCCACACTGAGAGCCCCCCACACCCCGTGTCTAGCACCTTCTCAAAGTTGATGGGGTACATCTTGAACCCAGTGAGAGCCTCTGGGCTGGGCAGCATCAACTTGAGCTCCCGTAGGCGGCTATCATCTACAGGAAGGAAGGGCACATTAGTGTGTCAGGGTATGAGATAAACGCGAGCACCTATGTTAAGTAAGAGGGGTTCAGACAGAAAAGATTTGAAAAGGTGACACAGTATGGGAAAGAGTACAGGAAGGGGCAAAGGCAGAGAAAAACCCATTATGAAAGGGTTAGGGAACATGAGGAGATATGTATCCGGAGACACCAAGGAATAGAAGTACAGGTCTTAAGAAAGGACGTAGATAGCTGTGCTTTTTACTGTAGATAAAAGTTGCAGTTATGAATGAGTAAAGGAAATGTGATCTGATTCATTCAATGGATTTACTTTACTTTATTTTACATGAGGTACCCAGAATAGTCAAAAGCAGAGACAGGGAATAGAATTGGGTTACAAAAAGGGGGTCTGGGGAGCTATCTTTTGCAATATCTTGCAAGATGAGAAAGTTCTAGAGATGTGTTACACAGTAATGTGAAGATTCTTATCACAATTCAAAATGGCACATCCATCTTTATAATCAGTATTTTTTTAAAGGAAGGAGAAACAGTATAAAGACAGGAGATCTTGAAGAAGACAGACAGAGAGAGACAAGATACGGGGGAGAAAGGAAGAGAAAGGAGGAAAAAGAAAATACATATGAAGGGGCATTGCGGGCAAATGCACTGATAGGGAAAAAGTATACACATAAATAATGACATAAATAGGAGGTCATGTAAAGAAAGATGCCAAGGGAATTAATGGTGAAGATGAGGGGATTTTTGGTGGATGAGAGGGGAAACTATGTGAAGGGGAGATAGTTAGGGAGAGAACCAGAGAAACACACAGAAAGGAGCATGATAGAGCAGTATCTGGAAAGGAAAATGAGGGGCATGTTTGAGGAGGTGGAGACAATTACACAAAGGGAAACATCAGAAAGCTTAAGCAGACAACAAGCAAAAGAATGGCTCTGAGAGCCTGAGACAGAAGGGGGAGAGACAGACATGGCTTTGGAATTAGGGAAATTGGGAGACACTGAGAGGGAGATGAGAGAAGACACTAGAGTTCAACATTAAGGCAAAATACGTGTACAGAAAAAGCTGAGGATATGGGTGGGCAGACCTGGAAAGAGATGAACCAGGGAAGAAATAACGGCAAAGAGACTGCAGGTGAAGGTGGTGACAATTCTTTCCCCCACAGATAAACAGAATAGAACAGAGGAAAGGAGCACAGCACAAGGCAAAAGGAGATGAATAATCAGTCCTTCTGGGAGCTACACTAGGAAGATAAAAGAGTATATGAGAGAGTCTGCCTTAACTAACCACCCTAATTTTACATAGGAGGAAATGAGCACCAAAGGCAGTATGTGTAATATTTGAGTCTGAAATCTAAACAGAAAAGTCAGAGTGGGGAGGCTTGAAAGGACAGGGAGAATGTGGGGTGGCAGCTCCAGGTTAACTGTCACGCATCCTCACCAAAAGAGGCACTGCTAGTGTTTTGGAATTCCTGGTCAGAGACATGGATCTTGACACCAGATTTGGGGGTGAATTCCGGGATCTGCACAGACTGCAGAAGAATGGCCACAGCAGCGCGGTCCTGAGAGCCCATCAGCCCATAAGTCCGGGCAAACAGGTTGGCAGCAGCCATCACATAGTCCAGATGCAAGGACTGCAAGGCACGGAATGGTAAACACATTGTTTTTTTGTTTTTGTTTTTTTTTTAAATATTTTATTTATTCATGCACACAAGAACTAGGGTGAAAGCCAGATGTGCAAGGGGTGAGAGGATTCACCAGAGTGGGGAGCAGAACAGGCAGACTGACGAAATACACTGCTGAGAGGTGCAGCGGGACAGGTCTGCTGTGCCATGTGGGTCGGCTCTCTGACCAGCCCGGGATCCAACGCAGGCCATCGTGGTGACAGCGCTGAGACTTAACCCCTAGGCCATGAGGGAGGCCCCAAGTGTATCAGCTGTCACTTGGAAAGTCTCAGTCTCCTTTCCAGTCCCCTACCTCCACCTGACCCTAGGGAGAAGACTTACATTGCTGACATCAAAGACTAGAGGGTGTGGACAGCGTTTGGGACCAGACCAGAATGGAACTCCAGAGCTTGTCACTAAGAAAATAGAAAGTTCTGGGGGAACAGGACCTGAGAGGAGCGCTCTCTTTGACAATTCTCACTACCCTGCTAAGTAAAAAAATATGAATCCCCACAAAATTCCTGTAACATAGGATCATTATTCCTACTTAACAGGTGAAGATAACTGAGGTCCAGAGCGTGTGAGCCTTGCTCCAAAGTAAAATTGATCTGGAACTTGAACTACCTAGTTTCCTCTCCTGTAATCTCCCAGTTTTCACGGGTATTGGGTTATTACTCATTCCATGTTATATCAAGGGAAAAATAAACTGAGTATTTTGAGAAAAAGAGGATGGCAGAAAAAAAAAATAACAGGCAGCTAACTGCAAAAGTAGCAGACTTGATCACTTTATATGATCTCCAG